TTTTTTCAGGGGACAATCTTACGCCCTGTGCAGGAGAGTTAGCCCCTTTAGTTGCAGGTCATACTGCATGGATTTGAATACCCTTCTGCCTTATAGAGCTCTTTGGGCCTTTGGGCAGCAGTTCGCAGAGCATCCCTTCCTGAGCTAGTGCCTTAGGAACGAACGAGTAGGATTCAAACTAACTATTAAGGGCCTAGTAGGTAGGGTTGCATTCAAGTGGGACTGAGGGAATTGAGTTCGAGTCCGACGGTTTAGTATCAGATAGTCAATTCCTTGTGGGCTTGGCATGCCATACTCGGAGTACAGAACCATGGACAAGAGTAGGGCTGGCTGCCAGTTGGCATCCAATGGTGATCCCTGATCCCCCACCGATGCACAGTTGCGATCTCACGGATCTTGGCTTTAGCAAACTCTACATCTACGTGCCCTGCAACTAGCCGCTGGCCAATATCTGCTAATATATATTTTTGGTAGATCAGAGTCCAGACAGTCTAGACAATGGAGATAGGACACTTGGCCAAGGATGATCAAAAGAAAAAAATAAAGCCAAAAAGAGAAGAGAGAAGACAGTACATCGAAATAGTGAAAAGAAATGCAGGGGTCAGGAGGGCTCGCCTCGCTGTAAAACAACCCTAACTCCTTCAAAATGCCGTGGAAGCAGTCGGCAAATGGTCTGCTTATGTCAGTTATTTGTCGGCCTGTTGAATCAATGTCGCAATATACGATACCCTTGACACCTTAATTCTCGTTTATGATTATTACTAACTGATAGGACATGCAAAAATACCACTAGGGGCGGCTATCTCGTTGATCACATCCATACTCACAAGCTACACGTTGTTACAGTCGGCAGCAAGAGCATGTGGCGGATAGCTAAAGTCCATTGAGACCTAGTTAGCTAACTGAAACATGAACCACAGTCGCAGAAGAAAATAGGGCCATTGTTCATGTGAGAAATAGCAAATGTCTTTGACAGTGACAGAGACTGTAAACCCTTTTATCACTCTTACAACAAACAAAGGCTAACAAGTACCAGGCTCAGAACCGTGCGATCCCCAAGACTGATCCCTTTAAACTCTAAAGAACTGGTGTGAAACGACGATCTGCACTGGATGCCTCTACTTCCCACATGGTCAACTTTTTTCTAGCGGAATCACTCACATCGACCACGAAATTCAGTCACATTAGGTTCGTTCCACTGGCCCAGGGCAGCCATGTCGTACATATACCGTCTCATCCTGAAACACCGCCGAGCACCGCCATAGTGACTTCAAGAAAGGCAGACGTGGTCGAGCTATCCAAGCAGTGGCACAAGCACGTGCGTGACTGTAAGTCTATCGGCTGTCAGGGCAGGACAGCTTGTAAGCCCTCAGCTGCGATGTTGCCCAGCCCTGCACCGACACATACTCCATTAGGTATGACCCGTGGTGAAAGGTTAACCCCATCGAATATTGAAACACGATCTGCACCCTCTTTTGGAGTTCTTTGCCCATGGAGATCAACTATGGTGTATCTAGTGCACTATGTACCTACATCTTCAACGCACTCTTAGGAAATCAATGCAACCTTGGATGAGATGAAACGATATTTTATATTGAAGGGTGAACAATACGAGGGCCGATTTTTGAGTCTGACTGGTGATAGTATAAAAGACTCACCCTCCCTAGATATCAGTATACAGAACATTACTCGTTTGTCATTCATTCTCTTGTAACCTATAATACTTTCAGAGCTGTGCTCCAGTCTTTCGCTTTTCTCTCTCTTTTATTTACTTCTGCACTTCTGGTAAAGAGCTTCATCCAACCATGAAGGCCTTCGTTATCCTTACCCTCGTCACGTCCATCTTGGCAGCGCCTACGCAGACGCTCGAGCGCCGTCAGCCTAACAGTGTGATTCCTTCTGCCCCATCTGAGTTCAAGGCGTTGGCAGCTCCCGCCCCCAGCGCTCCCCCTCAAGCATCTGGAGGGCAATCCGGTGGCGGTAGCGCTGCTGGCGGCGGGCTGGGCGATCTTGCGAGCCTGATAGGACAGGGTGTACAAGGGATTACCAACTCATCAGCACTGTTGCGGGGGCTGCTGGCGGCGGCGGCGGTGATAGCGGCAAAGCAGCCGAGAGTAGTGGTGGAGGCGGCGGTGATCTCGGTGATCTGACCAAGCTGATCGGCGAAGGGGTAAAGGGTCTCAGTAGCCTGGCTGGTGCTGCAGGCGACGCTGGTGGTGGACTTGGAGATCTCACAAGCTTATCGGCAATGCCGCTGGCGGCCTTGGAAGTATTGGTAACCTCTTGGGGGGTCTAGGGGGTCTAGGTGGGCTGCTTCGCAGAGACGTAACCCCAGAGATGATCTCACGAGCCATGGAGAATATCGATGTATCTGACCTGGATGATGACGAGTGCATAATTGAGAAGCTAGGTGGCATGCTTCCTGGTGAGTTACACTTCTACTACTTTATTGATGTACAATGCTAATACGGACTAGGAGAGGCAGCTCCTGCTAGCTAAGCTCACACGGAGAGCTACATACCAGTTGGAAGTTTGCTTTCGATAGCGAAAATCTTGGCTTGGCTGAAGGACAAGATGTACAGCGTCACAGTCAGGGCGCGATATGTGCCACATAACTTGGTCGTCCCAGTTATATTGTTTATATATTTTACATGTGGAGGCTACTCCAGATACTACCATTGTTCTTTTCTATGTTGATATCACACTATCTGAACGTTCGTTTACATTCAAGCATTACTCTCTCTAAACACCAGTTGGGCTTTGCCTATGAAGACTACTGATAGTGTATGTGTAAGTTTGGGGCTTGATAGAGCAGCGCCGCCTTGGGTAACATGAAGTAATCCGCGTAGATTCCTAGATAAAAGAAGCGGCAAAGAACACCCTTCTTTTCTTCAGTGACAGTGTGCCGGCCCCCGATCGATTATCGGTCCGCGTCCTTAATTTCTTTCACCTGACCGATCTACTTCTCCTGAAGCCGGACTTCAGAGTCCCATGCACATTGCTGGGTCCCGAGAACCCTTGCGTTGGGTGTTGAGCTCGTGTGGAATGTGTACCAAGGAACATCAATCAATAAAACATGGATTTGGGTCTTCTGAGATCGGGGAACGCCGTTATAGTTGTAGCCCCACGATCTATCCATATTAACTCCAAAACCTAATCCTTGGTGTTGCTTTTTGGCAATATTGCCACCGTGTCGGTGATGTCTTTCTAGAAAGCTGAGTAGTACGAACACTAGTAACACAGTAGATAGAGCCCACTGCGGGCTACCCTAACCGGACGGGATAGACAATAACAGCCAACATATTATAGCTCATGGTGGAGATTCTTCAGTCGAGACTGGTTCCCTCGTATTAGTCAGGTATTTGTAATAGCTCTTCAGTGTCCGAAATAGGCAGCTCGATATTTAAATCTTAATCTTAGGACCAAATCCTAGGGAAGGGCAGGGTTCAATTTTTGGATCGAGACATATCAGCTATCAAAGGAAAATAAGCTCTGTGGCCGGACCAATGTCTCACTGGCCATGGTACCAAAACACGTATGACTTGAACCCTTTGTGATAGCCATCAATCCCACACTAGATCTGCATTGACTTTCAAAGGTTTTGTAGACCTCGTGGCGCATGATGTGATGGTCGAGGCGCCAGCCACTGACGGAGTTAGAGCTAGTAGGTTCCGGTCAAGTTATGCACTACATCGCAAGGCGGTTTGGTGCCTTTGGAACTCATTTTTGAGCCCCTTGGCGGCTCCGAGACGGCCCCGAGATGCCAGGCACGACGCGCCAGATGTTGGACGGCTGGGACGGAATCATTTGCCGGCGACTGCAGCCAGAGAGAGGACGAGAACGCTTCAAGCCACGGGCGGGGCCAAGGAAGCAGCGGCATTACTGATTTGCTCTGGTCAGCCTGGCGTTCTGAATAGGGTTGAGCTACATGTCGTTCGCGCTCCTATCACTACGTTTCAGGCTGCTTTTTATGCCCAGACCCACCTCACCGGATATATTAACACCTTGTAATGCGATTCGCAGAATTCCTGCGCTTCTTTTGCATTAGTTTCATTAACCGGTACCCTTTTCCTCTTGTGAACGGGGTGGCTAGACCAGGGTCCGGGCTAGGGGTCCGGACTAAGCGTCCTCGGGACATTGGTGGGTAACTGACTCCATAAAACGGAAAGTTTATTTGGCGATTGTCGGCAATGATCATCCTTCCTGGTCCAAGAACTGGACAATGGCGTCCGGTGCTCTTGGACAGTGATTATACGGGTGCAAATGGTGGCAAGGCATCTTATTTCTACAACGGGTTTCCCAGCAGCATATCTGTAACACATTTAAATTATGAATTAGGTTTCAACTACACTGTGTCAACCGTTGCACTTTCAAACAATTATTGTATCACTAGCTCTTCAATTACTTCATTATGTCCAAGGCTCAACCCATCAAGCGTCGGGGAGAAGCACGCGCCAAGTTTGACTTGAACATCGATAGCCCGCAACTGCAACATCTCACACGACACATCGATGAGGCCGAACATGTCCGCATCGAAAACTGCATTGGTTTCGTCCAGGTCCCCGTTGGAATCGCCGGGCCACTGCGCATCACAGGCCCTGATACGACCGGTGAATACTATGCACCATTGGCTACATGTGAGCCGACCTTGGTGGCTAGTTGCAGCCGGGGCTGTAAAGTGTTCAATGCATGCGGTGGGCTACAGTTTGAAGTTCTCAATGAAGCCATGTCTCGTGCACCAATGTTTCTGTTCGCCAGTCCGGCCCATGCGGTAGCGTTTGCACGAGCGGTCCCATCATTCCGAAACGAGTTCGCCCGATGGGCCGAGTCGACTAGCCGATATGTTCGGCTACAGGAGCTGCAAGCTTCGGTTATTGGCTCCAGCGTTCATCTCTTTTGCAGCTACTTTTGCGGCAATGCTGCGGGTCAGAATATGGTCAGCAAGGCCACGCAGTACGCCTGCGAGATGCTGCGGGGCCACCGATGTGCGAAGCAATTCCAGATCCAAGACTTCCTCATAGAGGGTCAATTGGCGTCGGACAAGAAGCCTTCTTGGGGTAACGTGCAGAGAGCTAGGGGGGTGGAGGTGCTAGCGTGGGGAACTATTACCAATGCTGCCTGCCAAGAAATCCTAGGCTGCAGCACGGAGCGACTATATCGTACTCAGATGGCTCTAAAAGAAGGAGGCATACGCAATGGCCAGTTTGGTTGCAATATCAACACTACCAATATTCTCGCCGCTATTTTCGTGTCGACGGGACAGGATGCGGGCAGTGTAGCAGAGGCTTCCTGGAGTCATCTCACATCGGAGTACGATTACGAGACCAAGGAATTGAAAATGACTTTGTATTTTCCCTCCTTACCGGTGGGTACCGTGGGTGGGGGGACCCTGTACCCATCGCAGAAGGAGTGTCTGGATATGCTGGGGTGTGCGGAGCCGTCGGGGAAGAGAAGGCTCGCCGGAATGATTGCTGCCTTTGCAGTTGCGTTGGATGCTAGCACAAGTGCAGCCATTGCTAACGATACATTTACTATGAGCCATATGAAGCTTGCCCGGGGGGAAATCTTCGGGCGTCAGACTTCGAAGCTGTAAGGCGACTGGTTGCAATCATTGCTGTATCGAAGTTTGTTGTTTCATTTTTCTTTTGCTATTTCTTTTTCTATTGTTTTTTCTTTTTTCATTTTTTTTTTTCTCTTCTGGTACGTGTCTTTACTTTTTTCGTATATTATTTTTGTTTTTGTATCTATATACCTATTTTACTTTCGTTACTTTCTATTATTCATTAATCTTTCAGAGTTACTCTTTTTTATTCAAGAATTTAATTCAATTCGTTATCAGTAGGTCTACTGGCCCTATCTATTTTTTTCCTCTACTTTTTTACTTTTAGTTATTTCCCTAGTATGTCAACGGAAGTAGTATAGTATACTCCATAATAACTTAATTGATGTATTGAGGTGATCAACCCGTTCATGTCCGACAGGGAGCGTGGGCAGTATCACTCAAGGACCCAAGGAACCAACGGACAACCCCCGCGTGCCGTTTGCTCTGTAGTTGATAAGGTAGATGCGCCCTTTAACTGAGAATGTACTAGATCAGTGGGTCTGGCGCCCCGACCTTTCCTTATACTGGAAGGTGCTAATATGTCCACTTGTTATAGTTAGCATGATAGGAGGTACGGGCGATCGTTTTGCCACAATGGGTCTGACATTGGCGTATCGAAGCAAATCACTGCAAGGCATTCAACGGTGATTTGTTGGAATTGTCAAGCCCTGGTGGGTTGAGAGAACTGAGACAGAGCAGCGTCCGTGTTCTGGACCCTCAGCGGAAAAGTCTAACGCACCAGTCAATACCCCGAGATCCACCGATTGAGCCATGGATTCAGGCTGAGACCAATTGCTTTTTTGGATATGAACTCTATGTAGAGCTTAGCGTCTAAAGGACAGCCCCACTTGGAAAACAGGGAAGTTGTGCATGTTTATTCGTTTGGCATATGTCGTGGTGTGGTTCGTTGTCGATTTGGAGGTAGGTTGGGATTCCATGGTATGGACTCGTTTTCCACCTGCTCACCCGGCTTTTCAACCCTAACGTTCTAGTGGAAAGTATCGCGTGCATGGCTTGAAGGAACAAGGATAGAGAGGTCTACAATTGCCCTTTTTGGGCCATATACGGTCCAAAGCACGTATTCACAACGGCCGAAAGAACTTGCAGAAGCGCCCCATTTTTCCTATCAATTTTGAACGCATCGGAAAAATGAGTATCCAATTGAACAAGTGTGAGTCTTTCCTGCCGAATTTCCGTTCACACCTGCAGATGACTTCAACGGTCTGGTGCCGTCTATCCCCTGGCATTCGCTAGAGATTTAGGTTTCCAAATTATGGCTCATCTTTGCAGATCAAACGTTCGTCAGGCATAAACGCAGTCCGATAGGCCGTTTCTCCCACGTGTACTGTCAAAGCAACACCACCTCGGTTATTTTTTCCCAGGTGGCTTTTTGGCTCAATTCTGGTAGGTCTCATTTTCAGGATAGCGTATCCGTCATCTTCATGCCATTACTTCACGCCAATTGAGTTTCGCGGGGCTTGCCTCACCTGGGACCCTCGAAGTAACAATGTGAAGGAGAGCAGGATCGCACTACAAAAGTTTGTAAACCAAGGCTGAAGGGTCCATTGGACCCCTACAGACTGGAGTCAGTATGAGACACTTAAACCCCATCAGTATCAGTCTGCATCTTCCCAAGGCGTAGCTATTATACGTCCTGCATTATCCCTTTTCACATACAGCACGCGATAGTGCTATTGCAGTCCCTGTCGAAACATGGAACCTTCAGTCAGCGACTTCAAGCTCGTCGGACTGGCGGCAGGTTTCACACTAGGGTTCGGTTTCCTCACAGTCTGGAATGCAATCAAGCAGACTTCAGAAATTGAGAAGCCCTGGAAGAGCCCGTTCGTCATCCTGATTTGGATTGAAATCCTGTCTAATGTGGTAATCGGGGTAATGGGATGGCTTGTGCTGGAGGGAATTGTACCTGTCATGTATGGCCCCTGAGAACCGGCCGGTGATACAGCTCGGCCTGGTGCTAACATTCTCCCCTCAGTGCACCTGTACTGGCACTTCTACTATTCTGCTGGGCGCTTGAAATCCAATGTTGTATGCAAGTTATCATTAACCGCATCTACATTGTGGTGGAAAAGAAGAAGACCGCGAGAAGGGTCAAATGGGGCACTGCTTGCCTCATAACAGCCATCAACATTGCAGTGTTCTGTATATGGATTCCTGCACATATGACTCCCCCAGTCAATCATACGTGAGTGCCTTATTCCTATTCTCTCCGAGTACCGGCTAACCTTGCCTTGTAGCTTTGTCCTCATTAATCGATACTGGGACCCAATTTCCAAATTACTAATATGCATCGTCGATGCGTGTCTCAATGTTTGGTTCCTACGCGTTGTGCGTGTGCGACTGGTCCGCCAAAACGGACTAAAAAAATATGGGCCCTTAGTTCGCTTCAACATGCGAATGATGTTCATTTCCGTAATTATGGACGTAAGCTCACCGCACCTTCTTATCCTTCTCCTCAACCAATTCTGACATTCTACCCCTAGGCTATGCTCATTGGACTCATGTTCCTGCCTAACCCAATGGTGTACATCCAGTTCCACCCGGTTACGTACGTGGTGAAGCTCAACATTGAGTTGAGAATGGCTTCCCTCATCCGCAAGCTTGCGCGGGACAGCAACCTGAACAATGAAATCCATGAGGCATCAATGAATCTGCCGAACCGATTTCACCCACAGGGTCACTACATCAAGTGCGATGATGAGACGATGGAAAAGAGGAATTTGAGACATATGCAGTTTGTCCAGCTACGAAACCAGGGGTTCGAGAGCGAGGACATGAAAATCCTAAAGACAACCAGTGTTCGGGTTGTAAAAAGCCCGAGACCTTTTGTGCAGGACAATCTGCCTCCGCTGCCACCTCTGCCCAAGGATGGGCGATGAGAGCTAGCTGTTTTGTTGATTTTTGTTCATATTTACATGTACCTTTATTCAATGCACAATGTATATGGTTTAGAGCGTTGTACACTATAACAGACTGCAGAATTATGACTTTGAAATCCTATGACTGATATGCATCGTACGTTGCCGTCGTATTGAATACGCATGGCTGAATATGATTCGACTGTTAGACTAGCCCCTGGGCTACTTTTAGTTTACCAGGTGTTTACGGACTGGGCAAGACTATTTTCAGAATAGTGTACCAGAGAACACTTTGTGTTACTTCATTCATCTTGGTAATTGCTATCTGCGCTTCGAGAGACGTTAGGGTTGGAGAAGCCAGCATAGTAGGGAAGGAATCGCCCAGATCAGCCCCTATTCGTTCAATCAAGAGTAGATTAATCTATCTGTAGGGTTGTAACAGGCACGTTTCATACCAGGTATGATGAAGTGCTTCTGCAAGCCATACATTTTATGAACGATTCCCACCGACAAAGTTTTCCGGCCTATTCCCGCTAATTCCGGAAAGATAGTTACCATTTTAGTATGCCATCCTACATCACTTCTAGGCCCAGGTCACCGGGGTAATCTGGACTGGAGGCTATCTAGCGAGGGGGGCAGTAGTTTGTTTACTGCTGAGACTAGGCAGAAGACCCTGTCGCGACGCTCGCCCCTTCCCACATAATTCCCCACGCGCACCAACATTCCGGCAAACCTTACGTATTACATTTTCGGAAGGTCGAAAAGGTCGCCAGGACATCATGGATGTTCTGGTAGGGACCTGGACAGGACGTGGTTTGTTGTGACTAATCGGACGTAGTCCGAACACATCCGGGACGAGGCAGCCGACAAGCCTTGACAGGAGTATCATTTTGGGTGGACAGATAACCGTGCCCGAAACCCCCACATTGGAGTGATGCGTTAAGAGTTTGGAGGTGGCCAATCACCCGCATGGTGAACCATGTTCTGATGCGACTTAACCGAGGAAAATAGAGGAAAAGTGTTCCATGGGTCGACGACCCACTCTAACACCTTTAGTGCCGTTCACGCGTGCATCGTGAGTTCCGGCCGAAAGGTCAGCAGACAACTTGATCGCAGATAAGTCTCACCAAGACCTCATCGTGATGGAGACATCCGGACGATCATGGGAGAACTGTCCATGGATCACTCACGGGAGCACCGCCTCGTCGGTCTCGATTTCAGTATAATTCGGTGGGAAAAAAAAAGGGCTCGAGATCGAACGGTAACCCATGGAAGAAATCGCGATGGCGTACGTCTCCACCGGGAGAGTTACTACGAGACGTAGGGGGGGGAGGGGCCGTCTAGACGAAGGTGGGTAAAGGCTCGGATAGGATAGTCAGAATAGGGTATCCAGGAAGTCTAAAACTTGGAGATGAAACTCAGGGCGTTCATCCAGCAGTGGGCCCGGGATTATCACATTGCAATTGCTCATCACACGTGGCGAGCCATACCCTCGCTCAACTTTGCTTTAGACTTTGTTCCTGCGCGATCGGCCTGTAACCTTGGTGGCTTTTGGCTCAAGGGGGCGTTTATTTTAGTTCGTATTTTCTTTTGCAGAAGTATCCCTGCCTCCCAGTTGTATATATGTTTCAAGAGGACCCCTTGATCTCTCACCATGTTTTTTTGACAATCAGCCTGGGATAGACTGAACAATTGATCCAACACCATCCAATATGAAACATACGATCTCTTTTAGAATGTGGGAGATGAAGAGAGGCTTGATCATCAAACTCTATCAAGAGGAAGAATGGCCTTTAAAACAAGTTCTTAAAAGAATTCGTTCGGAGACATTCAACCCAAGGTGAGGCTTTCCAAAGAGTCCTTAGCGAGAGACAAATGTCCTGACCGATCGGCTGTTCCTGCACAGTGAGACTCAATTACGGAGTCGCTTGAAGAAATGGGGTGTCACCAAGCTATCTCGTCGCCGCAGTCAGAACAAATTTATCATGAGTCACCATGAAGACCTGAGCAATGAAAGCGGCTTCAAGTCGCCTGCTCACAGTGGGGATGAAATGGTACATTCAGCAACCATGAGCCATTCTACGTCTAGGGACGACTTTTATACGCCTGAAAGGGGTGATACTATGCATGATACGCAAAGAGCGACTGGAACTATGCCACACAATGCTTTCCATTCTTCTGCTACAGCCATGTCAGCGATCAGCCCATCTTGGGAGTATCATGACGTTTCTCCTGGATACGGTCCACGGTATGTCACCTCTATTGTTAGCAACTCTTCTGGGGTACCTCAGGAGGGACGATAAAATCCGAAAGCACAGCGGTGAACTAACGCCTCAATTCAGGTATATACATCCTGGTCTCGACTATTACAGCCCTGCCATGGAGCGTTCAAGAGCGGAACTATCATCCTCACCATGGGCTATGAATATGAGCTATGGCATGCTACCAGAGGATGACTCTGCTGCTCGGTTCTACACTACTGCACACTCTGGCATGTTCATGCACCAGCCAGCGCAGGCCACAGCTTTCCCAACTCAATCGGATTGGTTTCACACTCCAGAATGCCAATTGATATACCAGCCATCATAATCATAATGTACCCTCCGCCATGGTACCAGATGACCTTCTTTTACACCCTTAATGCGCTTGAACCGACATGTGTATTTGTTATTTTCATACCCCGAATTGTCTAATATATCCAATATATCCTTTTGTCGTGAGTTTGAGATGTATAAGCCAGTGATATATTACGTTGCTGTTTCCGCCGATCTTGTCGAAGCAATTTTGCTTATCACAGTCGTTTTGATTCTGTCGCTTTTGTCTGTTTTTTCCCTTTTAATAGATCGTGAGTCCTACATGTCATTGAGACCTGGAGCTCTGAAGGATGAACTTGTCCAGTCTATGCATCACAGTGCATAGTCGCTCGAAGCAGGAACACACAACCTTGGAGACAGGATGTACTATATACAGTGGCATGCACTTACAATGTACTTATACATTTTACAGTGAATGCTTTCAATAGTTCTACAATTCATAATTTGATACTCTGTCATCCCAACCTCTTTGTGTTCTAGAAGGAGAATGGCTACCAAATCTTATTCGCCATGGTAGCACTCTACTTGGCGCCCTTGGGCCTAGACAAATCTACACCAACGACTTTATAGAAGCACATTTGCCTCCTACCGAACTACATCTCTTGGATTGTTTGTATATATGTTGTGAAGGAAAACACGTGAGAGGCTCTCCCCAAACTCATCCGGTATTTGAATCCCTGACCCAATTCAACATCACATTGGACCACCGTTGCTATTGTCTTGACATGGTGGCAGATACTATTGGTATAAAGACATTTAAGATATGACGACTCGAAACGGGCATCGAAGGCCGTTCGCAAGCATGTGCCTACAGCATACATCCCTTGCAGGGACGGGAAAGTGAAACTAGGTCTACTATTTAACCTGTGAGTTGATTCTAAGCTGACCATTAACAGTGTAATGGAAACACCCCGATGTATAAAAACTGTCGAATAAAAGGGAAACACTGCAACTATCGACAAATGGGTGCAAAGGCAAGGTCCAAGTGACAGTCACCATTGGTTTCCTGGTAAAGAGAGTGGAACAGCTATTGCGCTACACCGGGTATCATGGCCTCCTCAAGCTGGGGATAAATGATGAATGCTATGCCGTTATTAACGATATCCTTGACGCTCTTAAGATTACCTGTGAAGGTTTCCACAGAGGTGAGGAACACTGTGAGATTAGAACTGTCCAACAGATTCATAATGATATCTGTTGAGCGTGCTGCCACTCGACCAAAATACCTTTAGGCATTTGGTCGTGCCTCCAACCGAAGTCTGGTCAACAATATCACGTACACCGATGGCAAAGATGTGTCTTGAGACTTCCACAGTTAGAAGAAGCAGGAGCTGACGGTCCAACAAGCCAGGGTTCTGAAGCTTTCCATCAAGTTTACCAGGATCCAAGCGATAGGGCACATTTAGTCGAAGACAATGCGGCTGGATAAGCCATCGTACAAGATACTATCCCGCATTCTGGAAGGCAGGAACCGATGTATTCGACTTGGCTGGAAGAGGATCCCTCACTGAATGAATCTTGCTTTGAACCAATGGTCACTCCACATGAGCCAGACGGCAATGAGTCCGACAGACCCGAAAATGGGTATGTCGCCTTACACCATGGTTCCTTTCGATCTGATATGTTCTCAATTGGTGTCCTTGTACGATTTAATCCTGCCCTTGACAGACGTCTTGTCAGTGAGACGCATGCCTATTCCATGAATACCAGGCTAATTCCCGTATCGCCCAGATACAGAGTTTCAGAAGTTTCGATCCCTTCGCTCCAAGTTCGGACTGCCAACACGGTACAGAATCTAAAATTGTGGAAGAAGAACCTCCCTTCTGAGCTTGATGTTGAGGGTCGCCCCATATGCCAGGCACCAGTTTCACGGCTGTGCCTTCGAAACGAACCCCTGTAAATCGGAAAGTAGCCAGATACTTGAATATTGTCTTCCGAGCGCTGGAAAAGATGGGAAGCTGCCTCGAGCATGCAAAACGCACAAGCACCTTCCTTGGCACCCTGCAGCGCCAGTGGGAGGTCCGTCGACGGAACCGAATGAATGCACGCATGAGGCAGACGCCATGGCACTACCGGCGACCTGGTGGCAGCAGGAAGATGGCGAGGAATGTCAATGGGACCGATGGATTCCACGATTTAAGAGGGAATAACACACTTTCCGAACATGCGCTTTGGCCTAACAGTGCCACCCCGTCGGGCTGCTAGCTCATCGGTCGCAGGTCCGTTGTCTCCTCTGGTTGGTCTTATCGATCCTAGTCTGTCTGTCTTTCCTCTTAGAAAGGGGATTCCGGGTGGGTTTGTGTGACTTGCTTCGAGGTTCTAGGGAGGAATGTGTCTACATGCCCATCCACTACTGTTCACAAAGGGGAAAGCAATAGAAGGAATAGAGTGTCAGATCCATCGTGCATACATTGCGTGAATCATTCAATATATTGTTATTATAGCCTCAATAGAACAGCAAAGGTTATATTACTAAAGAGGTACATGAACTCATTTCAAGATATCATCATCACATAGCATAGTTACGCTCTATATCCCTCCTCAAGCCGACACAGGCGTAATCGTCGTCACCTGGGTGAGGTCTCTGCTGCTGAAACCCACTCGGATGGTGAACTCGCCCTCAGGGATCAGCCAGTCCTGCGACACGATATCCCAGTAGCTCAGATCTCTGCGCATGAGCTCAAAACCGACAGTCTGCGACTCACCAGGCGCCAAGGACACCTTGTCGAATCCACGGAGCTGCTTAGGCGGGGTTCCAGCAGGCGTGCTGTCTGGGAAGGTAACGTAGAGCTGCGGGACTGCCGCTCCCTGCACGTCACCAGTGTTCGTGACCACGACGGACACGTTGTAGACGCTCTCCCACAGCGCGGGGTTTCCTCCGGGCTGGATGGGCAGTTGTTCGGGAACGGAGGAAATAGACTCGGCCAAGGGTTCGGCGTTGATATCAGAAAGACCGAAGGTCGTGTATGACAGACCAAACCCGAATTCGTAAAGCACGGAGATGTTGTGGGCATCGAAGTACCGGTAATCGATCTCGAGCTTCTCGTCGAACCATGCCTGCCAGTCCTCCGGACCAGTGGTTGTCACGGCGGTCGTGGGAGGCGCATTGTAGTCGCTGCCGTTCTTGGCGATTGTGTATGGCAGCTTTCCGGAGGGGTTGACATCGCCGTACAGCACATCGACAATGGAGTTACCGGACTCCTGTCCGGGGTAGTGAGCGGCGAGGATGGCGGTCACGTTGGGGTGATTGGCAAAGGGAAGTTCATTGATGCCAGATGAGTGAGTGACAACGATGGTGTTGTTGCACTTCGAAGCGACAGAGTCGACAACCTCGTTGCCATTGTAATCCACCGTGAGGTGCTCGCGGTCCGAGCCCTCTTCGGCCCAGGTCTTGAGGAAGACGAGGCAGGCATCTGGTGGCGTGGGGACCCAGAGGGTAGTCACGTCTGAATCCGCAATGAGGGTATTGTTCAACCACCACTGAACCAAAGTGTTGTCCTGCTGGCTACGGGACTTGAGGGCCTCCAGCGGGGAGACCAGATATGTGAAACGACCAGTTCCCGAGCCGCCACCGGCAGCAAGGGTGCCATATTCAAAGGTAGCTTGGTTGACGGCACCCACGGTGGTCTCACCAGCATCATTTCCAAAGACAGCGAGTGACTTAGGGGCCTTCAAGGGCAGGGCCTTGTTCTCATTCTTCAGCAGGATAGTGGCCTCAGCTCCATGTCTGCGGATCAGCTTGCCATGATCGCCGCGAACATCACGGCTACGCTCTCCAGTCAGGTTAAACTCGCGAAGCCATGTAGAGCGAGGCGAGAATGTGTTGAGGTCGGCAGACGAAGGGTCAACCGATGGGTAGTCTTGGTCCTGGCCGAGCCAGTAGTAAGGCGTCATGATACGGATAATCATATCATCCACACGAGACACATCAACGGTTCCATTGTTGACAGCCAGAGTAATGTTCTTTCCAAAGAACGAGCCTGCTTCGGGAGCTAGGCCGTATTCTCCGAGACCTCCCGGCATGTCCATATCAAGACCCCCCTCGATAGAGGCGACACCAGAGTGAGTACCACCCCAATCAGACTGGACATAACCCTGGAAGCCAAGCTCCTCCTTGAGCAGACCATTGAGAACCTTTGAGTTCTGGCAGGCATAGGAGCCATTGAGACGCTGGTATGCACACATAACACTGGCGACCTTAGCACGGGCAGCGTTAGCAAAAGGCCAGAGGTATAGCTCGTGCATAGTTCGGTCATCAATATTGGAGGAAACGGCTTCCTGGATGACATCCGTCAAGGTACCGTTGGGATTATAGTTCGGATTGCGTTGGGTCTCTTGTTCATTGCCGATGAAGTGCTTCGCACAGGCTTGAACACCAACATCCTGGTAACCCTGAATAGTAAGCTCCATGGCAACACCAGTCAGGTAAGGGTCTGCTGCAAAGCCCTCCCAGTTTCTACCTCCATATCCTGAGCGTCCGAGAGGGCCAGCTACAGGTCCAAGAGCGACATGGGCACCTTTGCCCTTGAATTCCTCTCCCATAGCGACACCTCGCTCATATAAAATATCTTTGTCCCAGGTCGATGCCGCCGTGACACCAGCCGAGAAGACGCTAGCATAGTCAGCGACACGAATGGCCAAGGGGCCATCCTGTAAGCAGAGACCATTAAAGCCCAGCCGAGGAATTGCCACGATGTTTCCAACGCAGGGCCCGGGCTGGCCAGTGACCATGTCGGCCTTTTCCTCGAGCGTCAACTGAGCAACAAACTGCTTGGCTTTGGCCAGGGCTTCTTCCCAGCCACCCGACCCGGTTGCATTGGCTGTTGTAGAAGTCAGTCACACTGGGTCGTAGATTCAGTTGCGGATTGGGGACATACGGGACGGAAGCACAGCGGGCGAATGTCCATACTGGCCAAGGATAGTGGTGTTACGGGGCTGGACATAGGAAAAAGCGTCTTCGCCTCGACCAGATCCGCCGTAGTCCTGGCCGTTGAC